TATTGTACTAACATAAACACATCTCCAAAACAAAATCCATAAGATACTTGAAACTCATTTTCTATGAAAATACTTAACACTTAATAATTCATTTTTACAAAGGTATAATTACCTTTAAACACCCCAACTATGTGAATATTGCACTTAAATCACCAATCTTTTCAAACTTCCAAAATGGTCATATTTAACATATAAATGCTCATTTTAATCCCAAAACAACAATTTCCAGCATAGTACATCAACTATTAGATAATTATACAATTATTCACAACTTTTCCAAAATTATCGAATTGGTCACCAACTTTTCAAAAATTACATAATGGTCCCCAAATTTTCTAAGGCTTGTAGAATACTTCCTACATCATTTCCAGACCTTATATAATTTTTAAATAATTTTTCTCACTCAAATACATCATGTCCAAATTTTCAAAGAATAATTTCTAGAAAGATTGAACATGTTTTAACCATAAATCAAGCTTGAGAATGAATCTACAACCTCTAAATCATCTAGATTCACCATCAATTTCATGAATCCTATCATGAACACAAACCCTTAGATTTGGGATCTTTGAAATCCAGCAAGATTAGAAAGAAATATTAGTACCAAATGATAGCGTTTTTCGCATATATCACTTTCCTATTTCACGGTATAACTCAAATTCCAAAGAAAATTGCTCAAAATGGAAAACAAATATTTTGCTTACCTTTGAGAGAACTCACGTCTTGCTGCTGGAGAAGATGAAGAAGTTTTGATAATTCTTCATCTTTTTTTAATATTTAATGAATTAAAAATTCATTAAATACTATATTACCAATTTACCCTTGAAATCAAAATATCTATACTAATTTACCCTTAATGAACTTGATATTTACATTAATACCAAGCCACATCAATCTTATCATCTTCCAATAGTCAAAGATGAAAAAAAATATTCCCACTTTACGATTCTGCCCTTGCAATTTCAAAAAATTACAATCCTGCCACTTTAATCCAAAGGCCCAAATTAAACATGGAATTAAACCATTAAATATTATTTTTCAACATTTAAAAATGTGAAAATAATATATTTATTTCCTTATTTTCGTGACCAATTTGTAACTTTTTAAAATTACCATATTGGTCCCTAAACTTTTCAAAGTTTATACTTTAGTCACCAAACTTTCAAAATCTTATAATTTGGTCACTAAACTAAATCCATTTATGGAATAAAATTATTTTTGGGAAAAATACCATTTAGATCTTTAAACTTTTCCTAATTTTCTACTTTGATCCTCAAATTTTTAGAATTTGAATTTTGGTCACTAGCCCACTTTGTGGGATGTTACAGAAGAAGCTCATAGTTGAATGCCTCCCCTTGGAACTTGAAGGCATCGTGTCAAATGAGTACTGCACATATTGCTGCGTCAAGGGCATCTCCATATCCAGGTCAAAGAAATTGGCATATGAATGTATTTCCCTTGAACTGGAAGCGATGTTTCCATACGAATTGTTTGTGGAGCCACCTCAGTACATATCGTAACAAGTTGTTAATGAATGTCTCCCTATTGAACTTGATGGGATCACACCATGATATGGATTTCCCATTAACGAGTTAAAATCATTGCATGTTATTTGAGTTAGGTTGTCAACTTGATCAGCTTATTGAGCCAGCCCATAGTGGCATCATAATAACATACCACAAATAGCACATACTTCAACAAATATCACATACATATGTGTATTAGTGTCTGAATATTAATTATGATAATCAACCATCATAGCAACATCGTTATCGTTGGAGAGTTAAAATGTTGTACAAGTTAACAAAAATATTGCGGTTGTAAATCTGTACTGAAGTGAAGACAGTCTTCTAGTACTTCCAACATGAACCTTCCTTGGAATTTTAGTTACCAGTTCCTTAAGAGTGATGTTTCTCTTGAAGGATATTCTGACAGAATGATTTGATGCGATGATGTCGGTTTCATTTTCCCAAATTTCTCCATCATAGTAAAAAATAGCTGAAATACGCATCATTTTGAGAGTTTTAAAGACTAAGAGTCTTATATCTGCAAAAATAATAGATGAAATATGCCTAATTAAATAAATAATATATAAATTAAAATATAAACTAATATAAAAAAATTTAGAAATTTTCACAATAATTTAAATAACATAATTTCATATTGTTACCGTATCGACAAAATATCTCGATGTATTATCATGCTTTCTAATTTTACAACGTGAAAAAATATATAAAATAATTAGTAAAATAAAATTTGTTCAAATAATTAATATAAAATAAATAATATAATAAAAAATTTTCTTATAAAAATAGTATTAATAATTCAATGTGCATAAAGGAATATGTGCCTTCTGTACGTGTCAGAAACCCCGCAAAGGCACGGATCGCCATCCACTCATTTCCTTACGTGGCGCCAGCTCGGACAGAACCTCGCGAATGTGTGAATGACGATCCGCGCTTTTTCTTACGTGGCGCCAGCTCGGACAGAACCCCTTGAAGGTGCAGATGGCGATTCGCTCTTTATTACCACTGTATCAGAAAGCATGCTAGATCGGTATGTATTAGTGTCTGAATATTAATTATGATAATCAACCATTATAGCAACATCGTTATCGTTGGAGAGTTAAAATGTTGTACAAGTTAACAAAAATATTGCGGTTGTAAATCTGTACTGAAGTGAAGACAGTCTTCTAGTACTTCCAACATGAACCTTCCTTGGAATTTTAGTTACCAGTTCCTTAAGAGTGATGTTTCTCTTGAAGGATATTCTGACAGAATGATTTGATGCGAAGATGATGTCGGTTTCATTTTCCCAAATTTCTCCATCATAGTAAAAAATAGCTGAAATACGCATCATTTTGAGAGTTTTAAAGACTAAGAGTCTTATATCTGCAAAAATAATAGATGAAATATGCCTAATTAAATAAATAATATATAAATTAAAATATAAACTAATCTAAAAAAATTTAGAAATTTTCACAATAATTTAAATAACATAATTTCATATTGTTACCGTATCGACAAAATATCTCGATGTATTATCATGTTTTCTAATTTTACAACGTGAAAAAATATATAAAATAATTAGTAAAATAAAATTTGTTCAAATAATTAAATATAAAATAAATATAATATAATAAAAAATAATTTTCTTATAAAAACAGTATTAATAATTCAATGTGCATAAAGGAATATGTGCCTTCTGTACGTGTCAGAAACCCCGCAAAGGCACGGATCGCCATCCACTCATTTCCTTACGTGGCGCCAGCTCGGACAGAACCTCGCGAATGTGTGAATGACGATCCGCGCCTTTTCTTATGTGGCGCCAGCTCGGATAGAACCCCTTGAAGGTGCAGATGGCGATTCGCTCTTTATTACCACTGTATCAGAAAGCATGCTAGATCGGTATATTAAGGGTGATAGTGCCTAACATGTAATTATTCATGGTACTGGTGATAATTCGGTAAAAACGCTGAAAATTAGTGTACAGTGGACTTTTGTAAAATTTTATAAGTGGTTTTAACTTATATATTGTGGATAAGGTGCAATATTTTTTATGATATTTTATGGATAAGAATCAATCATTACAATTTAAAGCAAATTCAATGTTTTACCTTTTAGATTTTATTATATAATTTTTTTCTAATGATGGGTTTGGTTCAAAGAATTTTTGCCGTTGAGCATAATTAAGTGATAAAAATGAGTTAAGTTTGTTTTACGAAATTGATAAGTTGTTAATATTTTTATAAATAAAAATTATTTGATAGTTAAAATAGTTTTTCTTTGTTCTTTGGTTTTTTTTTGTTCTTTTTTTTTTATAAATTCTCGGTTCTTTGGTTAGCAGCGGGAGCTTAACCTTTTTTAGTTTGCTTAGCTCTTAGCATGGTTTGCTTGATTAGTAATATAATGTAGCAGGGTTTTTTTTCTCGCTTTCTTAGGTAATAAAATTCCTTGATTATCCAATTTTTTTTTAAAAAAAATAAAAATTATTCCATCAATTTTAATTAATTAAAACAATTAATTTTTTTCTATTTTATTACATATAATTAATTAAACGATTATTTTTCAATTTCTAATCATATATTTTTACGGTATGTTTTTTTTACAATATGATTAATAAATCAACAAGAAAACATTATTTATTATAAAATTCTCATGCTGTCTTTAATCAACATGGGATTAAAAATAACGATAATTGAATAATTTGTATTACACTTAAAATCAAATTATAATTAATAATAATAATAATTAAATAACTATCCCTTTATATAATTTGTATATAATAATATAGATAATTGATAAATAAATCAGTCTTAAAACAAAAACTCGCGACTAAAGTTTACTTTAAACTTAAACCTCTCCCTCCTATGTGTTTTTTAATGTTTTAAAGAAGTATCTTTTAGTGGAAATAACTAAAATTATAATAAAATAAATCAATAACTTTTAAACTAAACTAGGATTACAAAATAAAAACAATAATATGATCTGAAGGTATGTAGTTATTTAATGAAAATATTAAAATAAAGTAAACATATAAAATTTTAAAATAAAACAAAAAGACCACGCCGTTAAAATTTAGAATTGAAACCTAAAACAATAAAATCAATTGATAAGATAATAGGAGTCAATTATTGAGATATTATGATATGCTTATGTATAAAGAATAAGGGGAGAGAGAGAGAGAGACAGAAATAACAATAAAACGGCCACAGGGGAAGTCAGAAAGCTGACGAAGCATTGAATAAAAAACCAATTCAGATAAGGCTTAGGCTCTCTCTCTTCGGCTTTTGATCAGGTTAACCCCACGCACCACCATTTTTCGACACGTCATCCACCAGAGACCGCCCTTTCGTATTTGGATAAGGACCCTTCTTCCTTTACTTTAACACTTCCCTCTATAAATAATCTTCTCCTTTATTCAATCAATCCCTCCATCTATACCATTATCTATAATTGTTTTTCAAATTTCCCCATTCTCAATCATTCTTTTATCTGCCCATCGTTTTTTTTTATTTCCCCCCATTTATATTTGGGTCTCAAACGAGGATTGAAGCCTTGGGGTTGTGTTTTTTCTCGAGAGGTATTCGAAGATTTGGGTATTTGGTTTGACCTTTTAGTTTGCGATCAATGGCGAGTTGTATCGGGATGATGGGTGGGAAGGGTTGTTCCTCGTGGATGCAAGTTAAGGAAAAGGGGAAGAAGATGAAGACGGGGAACAGAGTTAGAGTTTGTTGTTCTTATTCTTCTTCGGTTATGGATCCTTACAAAACTCTCCGGATCCAACCCGGAGCCTCTGAATCTGAGGTCAAAAAGGCCTTCAGGCAACTTGCCCTTCAGGTACCTTTTTATTTTAGTATTTTTAATTGAATCTTTATCCCCCATTGATTTGATCTGATTGTGTGTTTTTTGGGGGATTAATTTCAGTATCACCCGGACGTTTGCAGAGGAAACAATTGTGGGGTCCAGTTCCAAACGATCAATGCAGCTTATGATGTATGTATCCATTTTGGGGAATTTTTAAGGTTTATTAGTTTAATTTGATTTCCCTAATCAAAATCTTTTTGAAAATGCAGATAGTGATGAGTCAAGTGAGAGGGGAAACGAAGGCGACAGAAACGTTGGAAGAAGAAATAGACGAGGCGATGAGGGGAATGGAGGAATCAGATTGGGATTTGTGGGAAGAATGGATGGGATGGGAAGGAGCTGGAATTCGTGATTATTCTTCCCATGTTAATCCTTACATTTGATCAACACAGCACTGTAATATTATTCCCCTCGGGCTATAACATCAAACCGCAAATAGCCTCCTTTGTATATACAAATCATTCCAATTGTTCATGGGGGAAAAAAAGCTTGACAAGATAAATAAATAAAACTCTTTCGTCTTCAATTTATCCATTACTCGTTCTGAGATTTGTTGATAAATATCTGTCAAATAAAATTTGGGTTTTGATCACACCCAAACTTGCAATCTAATCATCAAGAAATACAAATAGTGAGAAAATTGGTAAAGATGAATTATTACAAGTAGAAAAGAAGCGACATAGTGGCCCATTGGCATCACCCTCGTAAATTTGGACCAATCAAAGAGCTTTTTAGTTTATAAGATGAGCACAGATTTAATTGATAAAAATTGTTTGTTCAGGCTCACATGTTACGTTTGAAAATTGGGTCTACAAAATATTAAAAATGATTTTTTATTAATATTATAACACATTAACGATTTATTTTTTAACTCTACAAATGATAACAAAAAATAATTATTTTCAAAATATAAATCAAGAATGCTTTGTATCGAATGCTTAGAAGATGCAAGAGTTTGTCTCAGAATTCAGACGTTCCACTCTTCATTGCCCGCATGGTGATTGAAACTGGGATTTTATTAATATAAGTGGTTCTGGTACACAATTTTGTCAAATCATAGAAAAGGAAAATAACAATATCCATGGATTGCAACTAGAAATAAAAATTATTAAACAATTGAAAGCATGTTCCATGTTCTCTTAGGGATTGCCATTAGCTTCAAGAAATGGATAATCAGTGTAGCCAATAACTGGATCAGATGTATAAAATGTATTCCTGTCATACAGATTCAAAGGGGCATCAAGCTCAAATCTCCTTGCCAAATCCGGATTGGCCAAAAACAATCGGCCGTATGCAACAAGATCCGCGCGGTTCTCAGCCACAGCGTCGTTTCCATTGTCTCTACCATAGCCTCCGGCAGCAATGAAGGTGCCGTTAAAAGCCTTTCTCATTTGCACGAGACTGTGAACACATTCAATCCGTTCTACCACTCTCATTCTTGGTTCCACCATATGGCAGTAGAGGATTCCAAATTTGTTCAAGGCCTCAACAATGTAGAGGCCTAATGCTTCCGGATTCGAATCTGCTGCTTCCATGTAATCTGCATAGGGAGATAACCTTATTCCGACTTTATCTGCTCCTACTTCGTTGACAATGGCTTCAACAATCTCCAAGGCAAATCGGCAACGGTTTTCTAGTGATCCGCCATATTGGTCTGTTCGATCATTCACTTGATCTTTCAAAAACTGTTCTATTAGGAAGCCGTGAGCTCCATGAATCTCAACACCATCAAAACCTATAAATCAGCCACCAAAGTAAGCAGCCATTCTATAATTTTAAAGTAACTAAGAATCCTAAAAAAATAACATACCGGCCTCCATAGCATTCATTGCTGCAATTCTGAAATCATTTACAATTTGAGGGATTTCATCGGTCTGTAATGGCCTCGGAGGTGAGTACTCTGCGACGTCGGACAATGGCTTATCAGTAGAAGAGATTGGAGGTTGTCCATTTGGCTGAAAATCTGCAAATATTTGCAAGAGATAAAACAATTACTTGGTGTTCAATGCCATTGCATGAATATCAGACCTTCATGGAATATTTACGTAAATATCACTGAATTCTGTCTCAGAAGAGAAGAGAAGAGTTAATGGAGGTGTAAGACAAGAAGAGACCTCTATTGGAAACCCTTCCAACGTGCGCAATCTGACAAAATAAAATTCCACCTTTGGCATGAACAGCATCAACAATGGGTTTCCAGGCCTCAACTTGCTCTTTTGACCATATACCAGGTGAATCTGCAAACCTTTATTAATGGAGAGAAAGAAAAAAAAACAGTTTCATGAAATTAATTTTAAGAAAATGTAAAAGCTCAACCTTTTATACATAATTCTGCTTCTAATAATAATAATAATAATAATAATAAAAAGTTTAAAATCGATTACCCTTGAGCTGTATGAGAAACTCCAGTACCCTCAGAGATTAAAAGACCTCCTTGGGAAGTTCTCTGGGAGTAGTATAGAATGGCATGTGGTTGAGGAACGTAGTTGTACGATCTTTGTCTAGTCAATGGTGCCAATACAATTCTGAAAAGAAATGAGAAATAAATTAAGCACCATTTGATCCCTCATCAGCAATATGAGCTATGAGGACTGGGAAATGGGGATCATGATTTTTCCTCAAAATTTTTTTGAACAAATGTATGATAGTAAATAGAAAGAATGCAAAATCAGGAGAAAAAAAAAAGGGCATTTACCTATGAGAAAGACTGAATTTACCAAGTTTGTAGGGAGTGAGAAGAGGTTGGATGGTGATATTTTCCATCTGTCTTTGTTTATTCTAAACAAACTACTAATCTGAATCAATCACTTGGGTTTGGGTATTGTAGTTTAGCAATGTAAATAGTTTATCGTGTATTGTAAGAAGCAATTGAGAAACTAAGGATTTGTAAATTTGCAGAGATATGCAAGGGGGTGATGAGAATGGGGCTATATATAGCTTTCCAAATGACGATTTGATGACGAGCGAGAGTACGTCAGCACATTCATGGATTCTTTTTTTTTAATTTTTTATTTTGGGTTCTTTCGGCTCACCTCTCCTGACCAAAATCCCATGGTGGCTGCTACACTCGGCTGTTAAATTTTGACTGTAATAGTTGGATTAAAATGGAAAATGATTATTTAAAATACTTGGATAAAAAAGCAAGTATGTACAACATAAGTAAAATATTAAAATTATATTAATATTAACATAAAAAAGAATCTCCAATCGTGATCTAAAATAAAATTTCTACTAGACAAAAAGGCATTAGTGTGCAACTGGAGGTACATTAGCTTCAACACGATACTGTAGATGACACCAATTGATGTAAATCCGAGCTTAGGTTTTCTGTTTACAACCCACTTGGTAATTGAATCTCGGATTTTATTAATATAAGTGCTTTGGGTACACAATTTTGTGAATTAAACAGAAAAAGGGAAAGCGCATCATCCATGGATTCCATCAGGAAATAATGACTATTAAACAACTGAAAATATGTCTCTTCTTCTCCTCTTAGGGAAACTTAAGCATGGCCATTAGCTTCAAAAAAAAATGGGTAATCAGTGTAACCAATAACTCGATCAGATGTGTAGAATGTATTCATGTCATCTTTAACATGGTATCTTTCGTTGTTAGATCTTGAAACTGTTTTCGCTATGCTTCGATTGCTCTCTTCTTCTTCTTACTTGCTTCTTGGGTTCTGGGTTTTGGATCTTGCTGGTTCAATCATGGTTCAACTGTTGGGAAATGAACGAGTAATTTCCCTATAACCATATTAGTGAGAATGTGAAATAAAAGCGGAAAAATAATACCCGAAATTGATTACGGAGTTCAGCCAATTATGTCTACGTCTTCGAACTGCTGCAAATCTTTTACTAAAGAGAGAAAATTTACAGGTGTTTACAAAACACTCTTAACTCACAAGAAAACTCTCTAAACTCTTTAGTATTGGGAGAAAGAAATGATTTTGGATGATTTTGGACCTAAATGGGTTAGGGTATTTATAGTTGAAGCTTAAGGACTAATCTTGTAAATACCCTAAAGTATGCACAGACTAAAATACAATTTGCCCATTTCTATTTTTAATAGAAATTAAATGAACCGAATTCGGTGCCTCCTAGCCCCCTTAATTGACTTTCCTTAGCCCTCTTAATTGACTTTCAACAATCTCCCACTTGAAGACTGATTTTAATCTTTATTCACACCTCGATCAATGCATCAACATTTATGGTCTTGTTACTCTAGCATGACAACTGAAGCTGAACACAACTTCAGTTTGTCCGTAGTCACCGTCCTGTAAACCCACTTGTTATGGAGCACTTTCTTGTTTGGTGGTAACACAACTAATTCCCACGTCTGATTTGACATAAGCGAGTCCATCTCATCTTTCATGGAAGACTCCCACTTGATTGAATTCTCCACCTTCATTACTTCATCATAGCACTCTGGTCCTCCCACACGAACTGCTTGCCTTGGCTTTTGCCGTATGTAACTTCACGATATTTTGCACCATACTTTGCATCAACTTGGTTGCCTTTCGACGCCACCACTTGCTCATGTCCCCCCCATAAGGACTCGGCCTGCCATAACGGATGTGCTTCCTTCGGCTCTTGCCGCCAAGTGATGAAATGGGCTAACACGCCCACAAGTGCATCTCTACCGTAGGAACCATTTCCTACAAGTTTTGATTTACTTCGGCTTTGACCCTCTTGGCCCTACGACAAAGTCTTGGATCCCCTCTAAACTTTGTTTCCTCCGTGCTAAAGGTTTGGTCTTGTTCGACCTACACTCACTTAAAACAACAAATCAAAATCGTGTTGAGATGTACATTCCCCTCTGATTTCGTTGGCATTTACTCAAAATTACGTCAGCATTTCTTATTCCATGAAGTCTGACACTCCTGGCATTGAACCCTTGTCATTGGAGTTCTTTGTGCCACCATGCATCGATACTTTCTCACGGCAAAGTCCGATGCCCCTTCTTGCCTCCTCCCTTCTAACACGAAGGTTTCGTTGGCATTTACTCAAAATTACGTCAGCATTTCTTATTCCATGAAGTCTGACACTCCTGGCATTGAACCCTTGTCATTGGAGTTCTTTGTGCCACCATGCATCGATACTTTCTCACGGCAAAGTCCGATGCCCCTTCTTGCCTCCTCCCTTCTAACACGAAGGTTGGAGCTCACTTCCCACCTTGCAAATGGGTTGGTTCTCCATGGTTGCCTTGTCCCTCAACGTCTTGGCCCCCTTCGACTTTTGTCTACTAGTCTTTGAAGGATTGTTCCTCACTTGAACATCCTCGGCAAGCCCTTGCTTCGACCCTTCTTTTATGATGGTCTCTGAAGACATGTTATCTACACGAACATGCTCGACAAACTCTTTGGACATGGACAACTCCTCTTGCACTGAGCCAACTCTCACCGCCCCCTCGATCCTGGGTTCGTCCACTTCACTGGACAACTCGATCTTGGGATCATCCATCACCTTGGATGACTCGACTCTCCTCGGGTAATTTTGTAACATTTCATGCATCTTAAGTATGTGCCCCGTCATTTGCTCGACTCTTACCCTCGGCTTAGCATCATTGACACTTGAACTTGTGCCAAGACTGCACACATCTTCCCCAAATTCACTATATGGTTCATCATTAAGTGGATTTTCTCTGCCACTCGAGGAACAACATTCATCATCCTCTGACTTGCCTTCATCCCAGAATCTCTTGTCGCTACCCTCAGCTTTCCGCTTTGCTTTGGAAGTCTTGTTCTTCTTGACTCCAAATTTTTTGATGGATTCGACGGTTGTCAAGGCTTTAAACAGCCCCTTGACTTCCCTTCGCTCCAACACTTTTTTCGCCCATGGCTTCAATCCTAACATGAAGGTGAAAAACTCATCTTCTTCAGTCAAACCCGAGACTTTGAGCATGAGTCTTCTAAATCGTCTCACATACTCCTTAAGTGTCCCTTTATGCCTGAGACGCCTCAACTTGGACCACGTCTCCATCTTGACATACTGTGAGCAGACTTGCTCACTTTGTACCCTCGGCTTAACGGCTTTATCTCTTACTATCGCATCGGGTCCCTTCTTGTGCTCGACTGCTTTGACACCCGCAGTCTCGTCACGTTTCGATCCTGGGTTGACTACTTGAGAACTTGTAGTCACACAACTCTTGTTCCTTGATTCGGCTACTTTGGAAGATGTAGCCTCACTAAGTCTTTCCCCTGTCTTGATTGCTTGGATACTTACAATCTCGGGCTTTCTTCTGGGTTCGGCTACCTCAACATCAACAACCTTGCCTCGTCTTGATCCTTGCTTGGTCGCATTGATCCCATCAATCGGGCCAAGTCTTTTCTCTGGCTTGGTAGCTTTAACACTTGTAACCGCGCCAATTCCTGCTACTTCTCTTTCTTCTTCTCTTTCTTCCATCCTCTTCATGATGGTTGTAAGGCAACGATTCTCGGGACATCCTCTAATCATGTGAGGACCATCACAGAAGTAGCATTTAAGAGTTTCCTTGCTCGTCTTCTTCTTCGCACCGAACTTAGCCTTGCCATTTTTTCCTGATGGTTTTCCTTGGCTACGAACAGTCGATGGCTCACCTTAGCCATTCGAAGAGCTTTCTCTACCATATCCCCGATGTACATTTTCCTGGTCTCCCCCACTATTGCCACTATCCTTGGGCATGGGTATGAAAGACACATTGCTACTTAGCTTGTCACCTGCAAGTTCAGTTAGCTTTCCGGCTACAGCTATGGCCTCCGAAAGTCTCTGGGCATCACCTTGCTCTCCCCAGAGCATCGCGCATGGTCTAAGCCCTTCCAAGAAGGTCGTGAACGCATTCACTCATTGCTCCCTTGCATATGAGAAGCTCCCTCTTGAGCTCATCCACTTCGTTTCAAAATGCCATCGCTCCCAGTCGAATTTGGCTTCTTTTGGATCGTTTCTGACAATTCTTGCGAACCAACGTGTATTAGAACACCTCCGCGACAAACTCGTATCGCCAACCAAATTTTACTATTCATGAAATTTACTATTTACGTGAATAGTAACCTCGCAAAAAAATTGATAAAATTCACAACCAAAAGCTCTTTATACCAGTTGTTGGGAAATAAACGAGTAATTTCCCTATAACTAGATTAGTGAGAATGCGAAATAAAAGCAGAAAAATAATACCCGAAATTGATAACGGAGTTCAACCAATTATGCCTACATCTTCGGACTGCTGCAGATCGTTTACTAAAGAGAGAAAAATTACAGGTATTTACAAAATGCTCTTAACTCACAAGAAAACTCTTTAAACTCTTTAGTATTGGGATAAAGAAATGATTTGGGATGATTTTGAAGCTAAATGGGTTAGGGTATTTATAATTGAAGCTTAAGGACTAATCTTATAAATACCCTAAAGTATACAGGGACTAAAATATAATTTTCCTATTATATTTTCAATAGAAATTAAATGCACCGAATTCGGTGCCCCTTAGCCCCGTTAATTGCCGTTAGATTTTGAAACTATTTTCGCTATGCTTCGATTGCTCTCTTCTTCCTCTTGCTTGCTTCTTGGGTTCTGGGTTTTGGATCTTGCTGGTTCAATCATGGTTCAACTAGCAACAATTTTAGATGTGGCTGAGGATGAGCAAATCATTGATTCTAGCTTGCACACTTTTACAAACAACGTGTGTTTGATTGATTCAAACTACCTCATGTGGAAACAACAAATGATTATCGCGATTCGAGGACTTGGTCTTGTAGGTTTTCTCGATGAATCCATGTCGTTTCCTACAAAGCTGATCTTCAATAACGTCCGTAAAATGATAATCAATCCGTCTTATTTGCGCTATGTCAAGCAAAATAGCTCGTTGGCTTCTTAGCTTCTTTCCACGGTTAGCCCTAACATTTTGCCTCAGTTGGTGATGAATCTTCATCAGCAGTTTGGAGTGTAGTTACCATGTTATAATACTCTATGCTTTCTACTACGAAAATAATGGCATTACACTATCCCCTTAGGTCAATGAAAAAATGCTCACAAACACAATTTATGAGAGATTACACGATGGTTATTAAAGAGATATGCGATCTTCTAGCTACATGTGGGAGTCCCATTTCTGATATTGATCACATAGCTACCATCATTAATGGTTTGTCAGTAGAATATGAATTAACTGTTGCATCTATTTTACAGCGAGCAAAGAACCTATTGCGTTGGACAATATGGTATATGTTCTCATAGATGTTGAGTCACGTCTTGATGACTCATCTCGTTTCTCTGTAGCGGTAAAGTTTACTTGTTATAGCACTAACCAGATCTCTGATGGTCATCAACACAAGAGGCATGAGGGTTTTAAACCTAACAATATTCTGGGAACTAGTACAAAGGGAGGCTAAGGCAACAATGTGAACTTTGTGGGAAGTTAAATCATCTTGCTGACAGATGTTGACATATGTTTGATCAAATTTTTAAGGGAGAAACCGCTCAACAGAAATCTTCAGCTTCTGAGTCTCAAGCTAATATCTGCTCATGTTTTCCTCATGCAACTGACTGTCATTACACTCTATTTGTTAGCATAAATGCAGGAGATGGAGGCTCGTTTGACATGGAGCTAACTGACAATATTCAAGTCAATGCTTTAATTGTTGATGGTTCTCTGAACTATGTTAAATGGTTCCCTGGCTCAGGAGCCACACATCATGTGGTAAGCAACTCTTCTACGCTCACAAACAAACAAACATACACTAGGTAAGGTTCATATAGGGGATGGTTTCACTATTTCAATTAGTCATATTGGTCGAAGTATTTTTTAAACCTCATATCGGGATCTTTTGCTTGATCAAGCGTTGTATGTGCCAAAAATAACAAAGAATCTTTTATCAGTTTCAAAGTTTAGTAGAGATTATTAAGTTTATTTTGAATTTCACGCCAATATTTGCTATGTTAAGGATGAAAGTACAGGAGCTGTGTTGATGGAAGACAGACTGGATGGAGGCTTGTATAGTTTTGATTGCTAGATAATAGGAGAATCAACAGCTGTTCACAACACAACTATTAAAGATGGTGAAGAATATTGGCAGTGGCACAAGAGACTAGGACATCCAGGAGATGAGGTGGTGAAGTCTATGCTTAATAAACAAATAAATCTAGATAAAACTAATGTGTGTGCAGCATTTCAGATGGGGAAAAGTTGAGCTCTACCTTTCTCTATATCACAGACATAATATAAACGACCCTTTGAGCTAGTTTAAGTTGATGTATATTGTATATGGTCCCACCTCTATTGCATCTGGTGGTTTTCGTTATTTTGTGAGCTTTATATATATGTACACAAGGAATATCTGGATCTATCTTCTACGAAATAAAAGTGAAGTTATTTTTGAAATGTTCGTTGTTGTAGTTACAAATCAGTTTAATTCAACTATTTTAGCATTGCAAACAGATAGTGGAGGAGAGTTTAGGTTCTTGGAAGCTATCTCACATCGTCTTGGCATAAAACTCAAGAAGTCTTGTCCACATACCTCACAACAAAATGGGTAGTGGAAAGAAAGTACAGACACATAGTAGAAACTGCCCTAGCACTATTGGCTCAAGCATCAATGCCATGAACATTCTGGTCGCATGTAGTCCTCAGTGCGATTTCATTAACAGAATGCCCTCCAAACTCCTTGGTAATATATCGCCGCATCAAAAGCTTTCTGGTAAGCCTCCTGGTTATAGCTTTTCAAAATCTTTGGTTGTCAGTGCTTCCATATCTCAGGTCGTTCAATAAACACAAGTTGGACTTTCGTTCCAAGCCTTGTGTCTTCTTGGGATACTCTCCAATGCATCATGGATATCAACGCATGGATGAAAGTGGATGAATATTTGTGTCTCGAAGTGTGGTGTTTAATGAGAATGTATTTCCTTTTGCTCACAAAGCATGGTCTTGCAGCAAAAATACTGATGTGGTGTTTCGATCAAAATCTTTACCTGTTGTTCACGACATGATTGATTTTGCTACTGTTTGTAATCAGCAAAGTCATAGGAATTTTACTTATACAATTGTTCAAGAACTGAGCTCCAATGATGATCAGATTTTAGCTACTACCAATGATGACCAGTCTGTCGCTACAGGGAATAAGACAGATGTGCAACCTATAGAACAAACAGGTGATGCGTCTCTTGCAGGGCTGGTCCTGACATTTTAAGGGCCCTTAAAAAATAACTTAAAATTCAAGAATAAATTTCGGTAAACGTCAAACAAAATTTTTCATTAAAAATTATACGAGTATATTCTATTACATTAATTAATATTATTTTACCAAATATATAAAGAGACATCTCAATTTTTCACTCAATTTACTCCTATTGTGTCTTCAATCATCTCTTAGAATCGTTTCTCTCAATCGAAAATTGACGCCTCTCACCTACAAAACAATATACACAAATTCTCATAAAAAACGATTTCTTTTAGCATTTTGAGATGCAAAGTCATTGATAATACCATCAACATCAATGTTTCCTATTATCACCTTCTCAATAGCTAATGTTGCTAAACCATTTAACCTTTCTTGTGACATTGATGACCTCAAGTACGTTTTTATTAATTTAAGCTTTGAGAAACTTCTTTCGGCTGAAGCTACGGTCACAGGCACAATTAATAAAATCCTATAAGCAATTGAAGCATTCGGATAACAATCTGCAGATTTGACAAACTTAAGAATTTCAGTTGCGGATAACAATTCTGTCGGCAAAGTCATTTGTAAGACTTTCAATTCAGAGAAAATATCATCTAAGTCAATATCTGATGAATTGCCATGAGAAAATGTAGAATGAAAATGAGCACAACATTCTTTCAACTCATTATCGTCTAATGACTTTAACTTATTTGAATCATATAAAAATCCAAAAAATACTTTCAAATGTCTTCAATTGCTCAAATCTATTCTTCAAAGAAGTAATTTCCATATCTACCACAACCAAAAAATAATTGACTCTAAATGACTCTTCAGGCGATTCAACTTCGTTATCCTCATTATTCTATCCAAAAAATTTCTTTCTAATCACACGACGTTTTGTGGGAAAGATAGGCTCCACATCCATTTCAAGTGCAAGACTTTTAGCTACATTCATACTAGTTGTAAAGCCTTCATCTATATATTTTTCAAAGTAGGACATCACACCTTCTAATTGTCATATGGTAGTATCAATGCACTAGCCTTAGATTGTAATTTCTTACTTATCATATTAACATCAAATAAAATGTCATACCAAATCACAACACCAAGCAAAAACTCAAAATTTGAGAGTGCATTCACCAAACTTTCAGCTTCACTTTTTGACTTTGCATCATTTTCACAAGATTCATATAATTCACACAAAGTCAATCTTATTTGGGGACATTGAAATCTAATAGCTTTAACACTTTTAATTCGACTCTCTCATCGAGTATTTGATAAATATTTCACAGTTAATCCAGGAAAATTATCAAGTAAAATTTGACATAAATATTAATAGTTATAACATGACACCAAAATAAAAACATCAAAAAGTATATTAAAAATACAAGGGTTGGAATAAAATAAACTAAAACTTGAAGTTTAATTCGAAATAAAATAGAAATAAATAGGGTGATGACTGCATCCAAAATCCCAAAACTAACCTCAGATCTAACCCAAAAAAGACCCGACCCTTCGAATACCTCGCACTCCGACAACCCTCGACAACGAAGTAACCTCTACTCACCCCCAAAACCGCCAAACCTATCTCTTAAAACCTAGATCTATGTATAAAACCTAAATCTAGGTATAAAACCTAGATCTAGGTATAAAATCAACATGCAATAACCCTAAAACATTTAAGCTATTCGGCCTCCTTCCCTATGACCTAACCGTCGGCCCCAACTCCGGTGAGACCCCTAATTTCTCAGGTAAATTATAGGCTTATTTATTTTTTTATATTTATTATTTTGAATATATGTATGAATCGTTACTATGCTTGACAAGGAAAAAAATGTTATGTATTCGAACTAAAAAACATAATCTCTCGATGAATTAGAAGTGAACCGATAAGAAAAAAAACACATACATTCGAACAGAATAAAAAAAGAATTGGAGTCTGCTATTTCTTGAATATGAGTGTTTACAATGTATTTTTGGTAAGATTTTTCCCTTGTTTCAATCTGTTTTTTCTCTTCCTGTTCAACTCCTCCCACATCTCGTTGTAATGCTCCTTTTATTTATTCTCCTTAGGTAAGATGATAAGGTCTAATGAGTAGGATTCCATTTTTTTCTCTGATTTGGTGAAGAAATCTCCACTTTTCGAGATTTATTTTTGTTTTTTAATCCTTAGTGGTTTAGTTAAAATTTTGAGTGGGATTATGGGAATGGTGGAGGCATGGGCTGCTTGGCTTCAAGTGGGAGCCGAGTTGTTGTAGCATGTGCAATGGGAAAGTACTTCATGTGGGGTCATGGGCTGTTAAATAAAATAAGAAAAATGATGCTTACATTGATCTATTTTTATTATTAGATTAATTATATAATTATTCGTTAAATTATGTAAAAATATTTTTTAATTATTAAAATTTAAAAATTATAAAATTATTATTATTTTTAAGAATGACCCCTCCAAGCCTGGCCCTAGGCGGTCGCACTCCCCTCCTTGGTTCAGGACCGGCCCTGGTCTCTTGATCTTGGCCAAGATCAGCCTTGTAAGCAAGGTTAGGCTCTAGGCTATGTGAATTAAGATAAGTGGGATTTTATCTCAAACGTCTAACAACTAGTATACTGGGATTTTATTAATATAAGTGGTTTTGGTACACAATTTTGTGAATTAAACAGAAAAAGGAAAAGAGCAACATCCATGGATTCCATCTGGAAATAATGAATAAAACAACTGAAAACACGTCTCTTCTTCTCCTCCTGGGGAAAATTAAGCATTGCCATTAGCTTCAAGAAATGGGTAATCAGTGTAACCAATGACTGGATCGGATATATAGAATGTATTCCTGTCATACTTATTCAGAGGGGCATCAAGCTCAAATCTCCTTGGCAAATCTGGATTGGCCAAAAACAATCGGCCGTATGCAATAAGGTCCGCGCGGTTCTCAGCCACAGCATTGTTTCCATCATCTCTACCGTAGCCTCCTGCAGCAATGAAAGTGCCATTGAAAGCCTTTCTCATTGACACAAGACTTTGAGGACATTCACTCACTTCTCCCCCCTTTTTAATTCTTGGCTCCACCATATGGCAGTAGAGTATTCCATATTGGTTCAAGGCCTCCACCATGTAGAGGCCTAATGCTTCCGGATTAGAGTCCCCTGCTTCCATGAATTCTGTATAGGGAGATAGCCGTATTCCAACTTTATCTGCTCCTATTTCATTGACCACGGCTTCAACTATCTCCAAGGCAAATCGGCACCGGTTTTCTAGTGATCCACCATATTGGTCTGTTCGATCATTCACTTGATCTTTCAAAAACTGTTCTATTAGGTAGCCATGAGCTCCATGAATCTCAACTCCATCGAAACCTACAAATCAGGCACCAAAGTTAGCAGCCATTATATAATTTTAAAGTATCTAAGAAGCCTCAAATTTCATTTATTGTTCTCAATCTAGAAAAAAAGAACTTACCAGCTTCGATTGCATTCTTTGCTGCAATTCTGAAATCATTGACAATTTGAGGAATTTCATCTGTCCTTAATCGTCTCGGAGTTGAGAACTCCGCAACATCTATTCCATTAAGTCGAACTTGTGGTGTCACTGGCTTATCAGTAGAAGAGATCGGAGTTTGTCCATTTGGCTGAAAACCTGCAAACATTTACAAGTGATAAACCATTATTTGTGTCCAATGCCATCACAATAAAGCATCAAGGACCATGCCATCTGGAATTAGAAGTTACAAAACAAACTTTGGGTAATAAAGTATTCAAGATGAGAATTAAAGCATCGATTTTCCAATCAACCATCCACATCTGATTTTCTAAGAAATGTCACAGAAGAGAAGAGAATAATGGGAGGTGTAAAACAAGAAGAGACCTTTATTTGAAACCCTTCCAACGTGCCAAATCTGACAAAAGAAGACTCCACCTTTAGCATGAACAGCATCAACAATGGGTTTCCAGGCCTCAACTTGCTCTTTTGTCCATATACCAGGTGTATCTGGATACCTTTATTAATGAAACAGGGGGGGGGGAATAGAGTTCCATGAAGTTAATTTTTGGGGTTTAAAGAAAATGTAAAATTTCAACCTTTTATACATAATTCTGTTTCTAATAATAACTGATTACCCTTGGGCTGTATCAGAAACTCCAGTAGCCTCAGCGATCAATAAACCTCCTTTGGAAGTTCTCTGGGAATAGTACAGAATGGCATGTGGTTGAGGAACGTTGTTGTAAGATCTTTGTCTTGTCAATGGCGCCAATACAGCTCTGGAAAAAATGACAGAGAAACGAAAAGAGAGGTAAATTAAGCACCCAAATCACGCAGTTAGTTAGTCAGTGACCATAGTTTTCCCCCCCTCACGAACAACAATATGATGTGTGGGAAATGGGATGATATTTTTCCTTGAAAAGCTGAACAAATATATGATGGGAAGTAGAAAGAATGCAAGATGAGGAAACGAGGGTATTACCTGTGGGAAAGATTGAATTTGCCAAGTTTGTAGGGAGTAAGAAGAGGTTTGGTGGTGATGTTTTCCATTTGGTCTCGGTTTCTTCTAAGAAAACAGTAAATTGAAGCGATCACTTGGGTTTGGGTTTAGGGTAATTGTAATTTTGCAGTGGAAATGGGTATTAAATTGAAATAATTGAGATAGTAGGGTTTTAGAGAGATGCAATGCGTGGGAATAGGGGTATATATAGAATTAGAAATGGGGCTTTGATGACGAGCGAGAGTACGTTTGCAGTGTCGGCCAATGTATAATTTGGCCACCAGAGTTGACCAAACAAAACGCTCACGGTGGGAGCTGCACTCGCCTGAGCTTCCCACGACCTGACGTATTAAATTCTTTCTTTTTCATTAAAAGCCGTGGAGCAATCACAGCCATATAAACATAAAAAAGGAACCAATTTCACGAGTTATCATTAAATATATTCATAATATATTTTAAATATGGCGTTTTTTTAAAGTTTATTTATGATTTCACTTGTTATATTTTATAGTAAATTTCAAAAATTATGTCTTCGATTGAAATATTTTTATTCACTAAAATCAAACGAAAAGTAAACAAAATGTTAAATAAATGCACAGAACATAAATATATTACATATCATAAGATGTTAAATATAAATCATAAAATTTTAAATATGTGATGGCTTTACCAAATTCAATGCATTTGGTCAAAATGTGTCGTTCTCTTTTGGGTTTGAACTTAAGTCCGTCTCAAGCTTGGGCATATCAGCCTGTATAATCGAGTTTATATTTTTCAATTTTAAATACAATTAATTATCTTTTCTCTATAACTTTACCTTCTCTCTCTCTCTCTGTGATTTTAGAACTCGGATTTAATTGTGAGGCCGGCGGTTAGGCTGACATAGTTAGCCGTCGCGCCCCTCTGACATAGTTAGCCGTCGCGCCCCTCCTTGCTCCTCCACTCTTCTCTACAGACATCTCATGAGTCATGACGGTTGATGGTGGAGCACTGGCCTCTTCTGTAGATCCGATGGTGGTGTGGTAGTCCACATATAGAGTTATTTGAGGATCTTATATACGAAATTAATAAAATTTCATAATTTTTTAAGTTTAATTTAATTTAAAATATAAATATAGAGTTATTTGAGGATCTTATATACAAAGTTAACTTTTTTTCTTTGTCTGAGGCTTACTGCCAAAGTTCTTCAAAGCAATGGAGAAATGAGTTTGGTGCGCCAAATCAGTCTGGGAAAAAAATACAAAGCAAAAGAATATTGTTAATTAAATGGATTTAGTTCATCAACAGATGTAAACATCAATAACTCTAAATTATATTATTTTTTCCCAACAAACTGGATTTGATAATGCTTCATAGGAAAATATTATAAAATATATAATTATTTAATTAATTTAAATTTAAATATTCTCATCAAAGTATTTCTTAACAAAATTTAACTCATAACTAAAAAATAAATATTTAAATATTTTAACATATAAAGAATATTTAATTTTAACTAATATAATCTCTAATTTATATTTAAATAGTAAAAATAAAAAACTCTAACTTAATGGATTAAGTAAGAATATTAAAGACTACATGAGAAAAAGGTAGGAGAACTATATTTTACTTTTATCCCACATTGTTAGCAAGTATAGCCTAATCACTCAAATGTGCCTATATAAACTAACACTATTAAACTTTTTAACTCATGAAATTAATATGTATTAAATTACATTGTTAGCCCTTATAGTTTTATTTTTTTAAAATTATATTTTTTAAAATATATTTTATGGATATTTGGGAAAGGTGTGCCTTGTATGACTCGCTTCCTAAGTGTCATGCCACCTTAGTGAAGGTACTTCCTCTAAGACGCGTCTTCTTGCCATGTGTGCAAGGTGCGTTACTTGAAATGTGCCTTCTTGCCTATATTTTAGAAAGGGTGTTCGTTTGGACAATATTCAAAAAAGAATGTTAAATTGGGAATTTTAAATAAGACAAGTTTTATAGTGAGTTATTTGAGATCAATTCGATTAAAACTCAATAAATATTCGATTTGAATGAACTCGACTTGAGCTCGAGTTCTTAATGAGCTGAAAAGAGCTATTTGATAATCGACTTGAAAAACTCGCGAACAACTCAAAAAAAATATATTAAAATTTTATTTTTTAAAAAATTAAAGTATTAATAATATTAAAATTTATGTGTTGATTTTTTTTAAAATATAGCATAAGGTTTTCATGTACTTAATATTCAAGTTCGAGATTGAGTTTTGTTGAACTATGTTTTGATATAACAATTTAAGGCAAAATGGTTTTTGGACTTGAATTGAATTTACAAAATGTTTTGGACTTAATTGAATTTATTCAAAGTTTTAAAAGGTTTCAAAAATAATTCAAAGTCCATTAAATTCGGATTTGAGCCAAAATGCTAAAGGGTGTCAAAGTGCATCCATGCACCCCTGCAGTGCATCCATGCATCCCTGCAGTGTATCCATGCATCCTTACAGTGCATCCATGCACTTGCACTAGTGCATCGATGCACCATACAGTGCATCCATGCACCATGCAGTGCATCCATGCACTCAAACACCGAATGCAATTAGTGCATTGATGCATCCTTCTGTGCATCGATGCATCAAGGCTGTGCATCCATGCACGAAGGCTGCAACGACTAGTTTATTTTGAATTTAATGAAGGGGTATCGATGCACCTTGATAGTGCACCGATGCACCATGTTATGGGCAGCCTTTTTGAGTAGAAAAATCATCCCCAAATGGCTCCAAAACATCCCCAACGGTTATATACGACATCAAACACATTCCAAGCTATAAATACAAGCTAATGACACTTGAAGAAGTAAGAGAACAACTATCCAAGCAATCAAACACAAGAGAAGAGTTTTTCAATCTTATTTCATCTTTCTCTTGTAAATATTTTGTTCTTGTGAGCTCAATCTTGTAAACACCTACCTTAGAGAGGTTTTCTTGTTTACTTCTTTTATCCTTTTGTAAAGGGAAAATGTTCTAGCTTATCCCATGTAAAAAACTAGGGAAATGTTCTAGTTTAGCCCGGAAAAACTAGGGAGTTGTAAGGTTATCTCTTTGTCCTCAAAAAAAGAACAAATTAGTGAATTTGTTGGAAAATCCTTGGTGAGGAGTTAAGGTAGTGGACGTAGACTTTGGTTTAGAAAGTCGAACCACTCTAAATCGCTGTGCAATTCTCTATATTTCAATATCCTTACTCCCTAAACTCAAAAATCGTTCCGACTCCTCTTTGCAAACCGTTCCGGTTGTCGAATCGAGCTTCCAAAAATCCTAATAAGTTTTAATCGGATTAAGTTTAGGGTTTTTTTATTTCAAACTTTTTGGAGCTTTAATTCATGGTTTTGAGTTCAAGTCGAGCTTTAATTTTTTTTTCGCGAGTATTTGGATCAAGTCAAACTCAATTTTAAAATTTTTAAGTCGAATCGAGCTTAACCATACTCGAACTCGACTCGACTCGTTTGCAACTCTAGCCATCGTTGCTACTAGTTGAGCGAGCTTGGAGCACTTTTAGGATTGTGATTATAGTCATAGTATGACTTAAAATTTCATATTATTGGGGAAAGATTTATAAAATTTTAATGGCTGATTTTTTTAGATAATGCTGCTGAGAATTTTATTTTGTAAAATAATACACTCTCGAAATTATTTCTTCAAATGGGGTAATTGCTACAGTACACACGAAAGACGCATTACACTCCATGCGTCTCTCCTCTTTCCCCCCGAAGATGCATTGTACTCCATACGTCTCTCCCCTGCCTGATGCCAGTCTGCATGTAGCATACATACAGAAATAAAAACTGCAATAATAGCAGTAATAATGTTGTAATCACGGGTTTGATGGGTTGGTTGGGTAATAATAGGGTTGGATTGTTATTATATAAGGGAGTGTATGGGAGGGAAAGGGCACCGATGAGAAGAAAGAAAAACAAGAGAATGAAGAAAGAAAGGAATAAAAGAAAATTTGAAGAAAATAAGAAGAAGAGAAGAAAGTTAAAGTCGGTCTGTGCTATATTATTTGACCAATTTAACCTGGTAGCTGTCTTCCGAAATTTTATTTGAGATATTTGACTATTGATCATTATGTTAATGTTATTTTTATAAATTTTTGTTATTTTTAAAATTTTTGTTATGTTAATATTATTTTTATATTGTATAATACCAATTTTATGATTTATGATCATAGTGTACAATAATTTTGCTATTCTAAATACAAATTTTGAATTTGTAGAGAAAACGAGCAACAAGTTTTTCATGATTGTCCATTATAATGGACATATTATGGAAAATGAGGTCAGAGTTGTTTTTCAGTATGAAAGACCTATAAATATGATGTTGAAAAGGGACATCACATTTGTAGAAATGAAGAAGATGATAGAAAGAAAATTCGAGCTACAGTTGATGGTTTGAGGTACAAGTTCATGGTTTGTCCCAATCCAATTAGATATGTTGTAGTACCAGTTGAAAAAGATTATCATATTGAAGCCACGATTGGATTGCATGAGTCAACAAATATTTCAGTTATTGAGTTATTTGTTGATATGCGTAACATATCTGATGTTCCTATGCCATCAAGAAATGTGACTGGAGATTCATCTCAAATGGATTTCGAAAGTGAGTTTGAGGACCCGACATACAGATCGATAAACAATTTAATGGTGCTATTGGAAAGTGGAAATGAAGTCGATGGAACATTCGCAGCAGCAGAGTACGAGGAGAGAAACATATATAAACTCCGAATTGACTGTTGATGTTGATGCTGAAAATTGATGGGGAGAAATCTAATATGATTCTAACGAAGATGAAGAAACTGAGTAACCGGTTTTGGCCGACGATGATAATTTTAGCTGTGGTGGAGCACATAAACTGGCCACTGATAACGTTTCGACACCGTATCAACCTACCCCTCGCATGTACATGATAGACTATGATGTGATGAGAACACCAGAATTCCCAGACATGCCACATATATCTCCATACCACATGGTTGAATCATTCGAAAATTCTGGTGAATTTTTTATTATGATACAATTTAGAGGAAAATATAAAGCTACGCTGGTGATTAAAGAGTATTGCATCAAAGGCCATGCTGATGTCCATATTGCAGAGTCCAACAAAAAAAACCATATATGTGAAGTGTGTTA